TGCTGTGTATGTGTGCACGCGAGTATGTGTGCCGTAAACAGGATATCTTGGTGTTTTTGACTTTTTTGAGGTAGCACGGTTCTGATGCCGACTTTATATTGCTACCTTACTAAAAGAAAAGGCACCCAACAGTATCCCACTCGTCACATTATACATATCATTTAAAAGTTATTTTGAACATATACTAAATTTCGCAGTATCTTTATGTCCATGCTGGAGTTGATGATTAGAAATGTGATCTATGCTGGCAGTGATCAGTATAAATGGGATCTAGATTTGCTGTGACCAATGTAGATGGGGTCCATATGGTAGTGACCAGTATAAATAGGCTCAATGCTGGCAATGACCAGTATAAATAGAATCCAGGCTGGCAGTGACCAGTATAAATGGGCTTAATGCTGGCTTTGACCAGTATAGATAGAATCCAGGCTGGCAGTGACCAGTATAAATGGGCTTAATGCTGGCAGTGACCAGTATAGATATGATCCAGGCTGGCAGTGACCAGTATAAATGGGCTTAATGCTAGCGTTGACCGGTATAGATATAATCCAGGCTGGCAGTGACCAGTATAAATAAGCTTAATGCTGGCGTTGACCAGTATAGATATGATCCAGGCTGGCAGTGACCAGTATAGATATAATCCAGGCTGGCAGTGACCAGTATAGATATAATCCAGGCTCGCAGTGATCAGTATAGATATAATCCAGGCTGGCAATGATCAGTATAGATATAATCCAGGCTGGCAATGATCAGTATAGATTGATCGATGCTTGCATTTGCCAATATAAATGGGTTCAATGCTGGCAGTGACTCGTTTAAATGGGATCCATGCTGGCAGTGACCAGTTTTTTTTTATGTAGGTTCCCCTTGGTATGAAGTTATGCATATTTTCTTATGAGACTGATTAAATAAACAAATCTTTGATTTTGACAGTAAAGGTGTGTTAGTGTTAATTCCAAGGAAGTACTGGAGGTTTTTTTCTCAAATTCTATATGCAGGTTCCCTACTATCCTTTATTGTTCATGTTTAGTTTTGAAACTGATCAGTTAAACAAAATGGCCTACCGACAGCCATCTTCGATTTTCGACATTGAAGGTTTGTTAGTACTATTTCTCAGGAAAAACTTGAGGGATCTTTCTCAAATTTGATAATGTAGGTTCCCCTTGATCCCTCGTTGTGCATGTTATATTTCGAGACTGATCATAAAAAACAATTGGCTAAAGGAAGAACTAAACAGATCTTTCTCATATTACAATGATCGATTCTGTTTCCTTCACATTAAGTAATGTACTAGTAAATATGTGAAATGACAAACCCACTTTGAAGGTTGGCTTTCATACACATCAGTATTAAGTTTAGATCAAAAGTTACCTCAGGTGCATTTACTGTTAACATGACTCGATCAAACAGATTAGAGGAAAGAAGAGAAAAGATCAAACTGACAAAGAACTAACGAAGATGGTACAATGGTGGGCGCCAGGATCCCTCTGGGATCTCTTGTTTGTTTTATTGATTTATTACTGTTTAATATCCGTTTAATATAAAGTTTTTGAGATTCCGGGTTTATTTGATTGATTTGAACATATTTTATTTGCAGAAATGCAAAAGGGATTAGACAAAAATTAAAAGTCTGAAAGTTCGCCTTCTCACTCATATTTGAGATGATGGTACTTTGGCTACCATTGATATACGTCATATAATCGCAGGTTCCTACAGCCTTACCGCCCGGTGTTGTTATTTCAACAATTGTGTACGTTTTTGTTTTTTTTTTGGTTTTTTTTATTACAAATCGAGTTTTAAACATATATTAAGTGTCTTGCATTCCATTCGCCTATACTAGTTTATGTGTATGGTAGAACCGGTCTGTCCGGCATTAGTAGCAGGCATACTGGGGGTCAACAAGTAAACCGGTTTGAGGGGCATATCACCCTGCAATTGGTTACGTGTTGCGCCGCTTGATAATTTTCAAACATTAATTAACAACATGTTATGATATAAAGGGTAAACCCAACAAACTACATATATGAATTAGATATAATCAAACTAAATACAATACTGACATCGGCGAAGGAATAAACAGGGCGTCGGTTTTGCGCTTGGTGATTTGTTTAATTCAGCCTCAGTACCTTTACCGAACACCAGAAACGTCAATGTTCCAGCCACATAAAAAGCCATAGATACGTTAAAAATGGTCTGGCACTGTGGCATAGTTTCCTGGAGAGAAAAAAAAGAGTAAAAATAGTTATATAACATTAACTAATTAGAAACAAATGATATTCAAATACTTAATACTTAACATCAATAAACCGTGAACTAATATACATTCGAAAGTTTAAGTGCGCGCAATGTATAAAGAAAAACCGGTCCATGGTTCGATATTGTAGAATTTACATCCTTTGTGTAATTGATAAAAAATGACATTATCATGAATAATATGTTTATTCATATTCAGAAATAACCCCAGAAAAACGTCATATATAGAATTGATTGATTAATTAAGTGGACGAGTCGACGATATGAACTCGAAAATTGATTAGGATACACACTCACATGTACTTCCCTTGTTGTTTGTAGTTTAATATAATATACATGTACTTTCATTGTTGTTTGTAGTTTAATATAATATACATGTACTTTCATTGTTGTTTGTAGTTTAATATAATATACTTCCATCGTTGTTTGTAATTTAATATAATATACATGTACTTTCATTGTTGTTTGTAGTTTAATATAATATACATGTACTTTCATTGTTGTTTGTAGTTTAATATAATATACATGTACTTTCATTGTTCTTTGTAGTTTTATATAATAAAGATGTACTTTCTATATTGTTTGTAGTTTAATATAATGTACTCCCCTTGTTGTTTGTAGTTTAATAGAGTATACTTTAATTGTTGTTTGTAGTATGATATATACAGTGTATATACTTACGTTGCTGTGAGTCAGAATCCCTACAATCTAAGGGGAAATCACTCCTGAATCATTAGAGGGAAAAAAAATCCCATCAAGACCGTGAATATGAAAATATGAGTTATTTAAAAAGAAATGTAGAAATATATGTAACAATGTCATCGCCATTGTCGTTTTGTAATAATAATTTAGAAAAAAAAACAAAAAAAAAATACAAAAACAAAACAGTCCCTGTTTCAACAAAATTAAAACCATAAAAAGCGAAAAGCAAAAACATCAAGAAACAAAAAACAATCAAAACCGAAAACAGACACGCAACAATAAATGTGCAAACATTTTCAGTTTTATCCACTTAATGTTTCATAAAACATAAAGACGGTAACTCATTTCATGATTATAGGAAACACACTTATTGTATATCTGACACCGCCTGTAATATGACAAGAGCTAACTCATAGACTAGTATTCAAGGTACAATATTTATATTTTAAAACAATTCGTTAATACAAAGTATGAAAACTCCAAAGATTGGTAAATCAACCTTTTTTCTCAAAATGCTAAATTCTTAAAAATAAGAAAACGGCTTTAGACTATAACCCACAATTATCCTTACATCCAATTTTTTACTGTTGTGCAACCTTGTTTTATGTATTACGTCCCCTTGCATGAATGATTTCCGGGACTCAGTGGAGAACCCGTCTTGAATGTTTGTGATTTCTCCATCTTAGAGTCACACTAATGTTTACCAAGACAGAGTAAAACATTACATGAGAACGTCTGTTTTTGTGACAATCCAAAGTGCACACCCATACAGAGCAGATGTATATACCTTAAGTTCGATTAATTTGGCTGTTGTTGAAGGGTTAAGTGCGCTTGGGTGTGCTCCAGATCGTAGTAAATCCATGGTATCCGATTTAAGTTTACTGCAAGCGCGAGTGGTTCTGTTTGTATTATTTCGTTTGCTATTTAGCATCAGCCCGACATGCGTAATATTATCAACTACTGGCAATGCACATTGGTATAAGTATATTTCTTTGTACTTTCGTGTATTGTTTTTATTTGAAAAAGTAATAATTTTGCTAAAAAGTAAATATCCATTTCCTTCTGTACGTTTTTTTTTTATAAAGATACCATATTCTGAAGATTATTAATATTTGTGCTAATTAAGCATATATCCCCTGCGTGTGTTGGGATGCTAACTTTGATATCAGTCACCATTTCACCATTTCCTCTTGAATCAATTTCTTCATTTAACAAATCATTAGTACAAATCAAGTACAATTTAAATCCCGCGCCCCACTGTCAGTGGGGTAGCTGTAAAACCATTAAATGAAACAACGCTTTCTACATCAGTGTACATTTTACTTTTAGGATACTCCACACTTTCGCATTTAGACCCATTTCATAAATTTTGTACAGTAGACTGGCATGCCACACAGTGTCGAATGCCTTATTGCTGTCTAAACAATCTACACGTACATTTGACTCATGTTCTAAATTATAACTTATACACTGTAGTACATTATATGACGTACACAGACTACATAAATCTTTTGATATGCGGTTTGTTGTGTATCTTTCTGGGTCAATCCTTTTGATAACAACATTTCAAACAATTTGAAAAAAATACTGATAATAGTGATGATATACCCCTGTAACTGTTTGGGTCGTCTTTAGTATTCGCATGTCCTTTATGTAATGTAATAATAAAAAATTTCTTCCAGTCTTTAGGAATATATTCATTTCTTATCATCATATTAAATAATTTTGCGAAGTGATTAATAATATCTCGCCCCCATATTAAATATTTTCGTACACAATGCCGTTCCAACCCCAAGCTTTGTTGGAAGCAAGTTATTCCCCAATTATCAAAACATCTTGTCACAAACACGTTCTGTACATATCTTACGACATTTTGTTTTAAAGAAACTTGTTTTAGTTGATTGCCTGAAGTCGGGGAATTAATACTATTAAACAATCATTTGATATCAAAGCTGAACGAATGTGTCGCTTTAAAGGGCCACTTCACATATCAGGGTAATGACAGATAAGCGCTGCGAAATGTATGATAAATAAATCGAGGGACGTTAAAAGCATAACCTACGGATACTGATTAATTGTGAATCATAGTCCAGTTAACATCGAACTGTATAAGGATATAGATGGAAATCAAGCATAAATCTCCAAAACAGACTGAGTAGACACTCCTGGAAATCTGTAAATATGACATCTGTAAATTACGAATTGGGCGAGAAAGGTAAACCACTAGAGGAATCGGAACAAATACCCGTACACACAGGTAAGTCTCTTGTATCACACAGGTTAAGTAAAAGACACTGGTTATCGTATCGTACAGGTAAAAACTGAGGTTTAAAATGTATGACTGTTTTTCAAATGTGTGCATGAGACAATATTTAAATAATAAGGAATCAAAGTACTGAAAGTACTAAAAGCCAAGGCAAAAGATAGACCAAGATAAATATATCATTTTTGAAATGGGAAACAAAATAAAGACAAAGTTCTCATCATATCGTCAGAAGGATTAACTGTTAATTTTGTTACGAAACCTAGTACCACTACGAAGTTATTCTTCTTGTGTGTACAGTTTTTCTTTATAGGTTTGTCAGAAGAGGGGTACCGAGTTTTCTCTTAAATATATCTTTGTAGACCTTTAGATAATTCATTTGCATAGGAATTGATTCCCTTGTCCATATTTCAAACGTTTAAAACAGAAATTGGCATTTACCCTTTGGCCAATAACTGATTATTTTTTAAGTATACATGCACTTCTCTCAACTGCGAACTTATCGTCTAAGTTTGTATATTAATAAATATATATTCAAGCATGTTATCTTGTAAAGTATGGACATTGACCAGGTTATGCATACTTTTAAATATGTGTGAATTTTGTTCAAGTTTCAATTTTGCCTCAGTCTATCTATATTGTTAACAAACAACCCAAGTCTAATTACAACTGAACAATATTTAAGAATGTTAACTTACTGAAACCAAATTGCAGACAGACAAATGGATGACTGCTACTTATACCTTTACATGTCTGTCAAATATTTTGAAATGCTTTTATTTACAGTGTATCACATATTCACTGTAGTGAAAAGATCTCTACTTATGACAAATGGAATTATTTTGCTTCTGTTTTTCTAGGAACAAATAAGATAAGAAAAAACACTCTAACTCAATCTGATACATTATTGTATGTTTCAATATTAAATAAGATAAACAAGATATAAACATACATGTATACACACACACACTGGATTAAGAGAGTTATATTATTTTTCCTCTATTTCCATTGTATGAAATCCTCACAAAATAAAAAATGTATAACATGTGTAAAGCTTTATCATCTTGATAGGCCAGCGTTTGAAATAAGATGCACATATCAATTTCAAATATTTTTTAAAAGAGTACTACAAATGTACCAGCTAGAGCAAATACTATGTCATTACTATTGTCATTATTGTTGGTTTCATATTTGATACATGTAGCATAGTGCAACAAATGTTGACAACAAGTTGAGGTTGCATGTGTAGATGCAAACAGGAAGTGTACGATTTGATGTTCAGAATGATGGAGCAAGTTTTATGAAATTTTGTTTGAATACTTAGTTAGGAAAGTACTGACAATTTATCCGTCACATGTACAGGTTGTGTAGCTGTAGCCTTCACCTTGAATGTATGAACTTGACCTTAAAACTGTCTTGAACAATTGATGTATGGCATTTTGAAATAAACTTTCAAGAAATATGGTTAAAAACTTTATTAGAAACAATTGCTTTCACTGACATCACCTAGACACAATCTTGAATGTGTGGGATTCCTCTCATATATCACACGAGTTTTAATATCAAAAGTTGTACACGGTAAAATCGAATGAAATTAACAAATATTAAGTTACATATGATAACCTTTTTGTTTCTAGATTTTATTGATATTGATCATGAACATTGTTAAAAGTACAATGTATACCAGGTATCTCATATTCCTTTTACTGCTTAACAATTCTTTGACTTTTAATTTACTTGACAAAAACTAGTAGGAAGCCATGGCCATTATTTCTGTCTTTTAAAAACATATTTTTATTGTTTTTCTAATTTGCTCCCACCACCGCAAGTGTTTTATTGATCAAAACCAACGTAATTTCCGACATTGGTGCCTTAAGTCAGTGGGGAGCTATTCAATCACATTCAACAGGCTTTCAGCATCACTATTCACAGATTCAATCCGTCACAAGTAAAGATCATTGACATCTCCATTAAGCAAATATCGGCAAGGAAAGCATTTGAACCTTTCGCTGTTGGAAGGATCTGTGAACTCGTCTGTCATGAGTCTGTGAGAAAATGATTTAAAGTGAAGTCAGAGGTTCCTCCTCTGTACAGTAACTGACAGACAAAATGCCATGTCACTGTTGGACCAGTTCTTGCAGCCGATAGGCCTACATTTTGTATGTCTGCTGGTGTTATTTGTTTGTTTCATTTATTGGTAAAGTATTACCATATAACAGAATGTGTTTTTCATCATACACAAAACAACAACAAATGAATACTGGATGAAGATACTTCTATTTCGCCTTCGGAATGATTTCAGACATGTATTACGGGAAGAAGAAGACGAGTGATCTCCCTTAAATAAAGCCTAGACATGCGCTGCGCATATTGTACTTTCATTTTGTGTAGGCCTAGACACCATTCGTACATGTAACGCGAAGCGGGAAAAGTCGAAAATGCAAGCAAGTGTTGTATTCAGTTTTACTTAATGTAATGCATGTTGTTTACAATTAAATTTCGACAACGTTTACTTACAACCGAGTCATAAATAATGTTCTGGATCCCGATTTTCGAATTCAGGCCGAGCAGGCGTTTGTGACACCTCATCATTTATTGATATAAAAATGCAATAAAATATATAATGTTAAACATGGAACAAAATGAAAATACTGCGAAGGTAAAAACGTCTTCAGATTAGAATGCTCATATGGAAGAGTAGGACAGGAGCTAGTATCACGGACTTAGATCTAATCTAGTTCCGTGCTAGTACAATATTAATATACCCGGCCTCCTCTGTCCCGGCCTGGTATTGTAATCGATCCCATGCCTTGTAATGGAGCAAGCCCGGTGTGAATCACTTGGGGATTATTTTAGAATTAATTGATAGGATCTGCATTCATAAATAGGTTTGTAATATTAATATTTTCTGTTGATCACCTACATAATTTGAAGTTATACTCTGCCTAAATGACGGCAAATTATCAAGTTTATCGCAAGGGCAATCGAAATCTGAATTGACTGCCATGTTGGAAACTTCGTCCGTTTTCCGATATAGGTCAGACTTCTAAATATGGGTGTCGTGATCCAATATGGAAATTGCATTAAACATGGCAGAATCAGTAATAATACTATATTTGGCCGTGCAGGCCGTATAAGGAAACAGGTAATTGGGATAACCTCACGCGTGATCTTACATGGCGGTCGTTTCTATTTTTTACCCAGGACGGACCGTGCTATAGAGGTTTAGTAAGGATTAGTTATTTCAACTATTATGCAATATTTTGATAACATTAAACTCATATGAGGCGTTAACCATATGTAATCATACAGATTAGCACTTTTGATTTTGCTCAACTAGTTGGAATAGGGCTGCTTCTTAGCTCTGACCACGCATATATATAAATGTAGGAAGGGACATGAATGCAAGAGCCACAAATTTCAGCCAATCAGAAGACAGTATTTTTGTGTTAAGGCTATCCAAGTTGTAGAAGGGTACTTACATAAATGTAGTTCTAACTAAGAATAAGATTATATCCATTGACTTTAAAGTGAACTTGAGTCTTCGGTAATGGATTTTATTTGCAGTTTGCTTAGTATTACTGGTAAGTGGCGTATGTGTCGTTTATGAATATCTGAGCTTATTAACTGAAGAATGTTTACCGGAAGTTACGTGTAGCATGCGTGACCTACAGTCCATTGGCAGTTCCATATTGATGGAAACAGTGTGCATTTTCAAGAAGAATATGACGTTGTGATACGATCATAGGTTCTACCAAGGAAATGAATCATATTTCCAGGCCATTCAAGTAAACTTGAGTCCAAAGTAATACATAATAAAGACAGTATCTCCGGTATATATGATTCAATCGAGTACAAATCTGTGCCAATAGGGCGGAGTATGTCTCGAAACGGCATTTATGAATATCTTTAGCTCATTAACTGAAGTAATACCAATAGCTTGCCGCGAACGCCTTAGCTAAACATAATGTCAAGTGTTCAATAAGAATGAGGGTTCCTGCTTCATAAACAACACCGGACACGTAAATCTAGGTTACCATTTCTAGATGTCGGAATTGGTGGCCATATCTGATATCGAATCAACATGAAAACAACAAAACACATGTTCAAGACCATCTGCTAGGACAAAAATGTTGGTCAAGATTATGCATGCATGATTATTTCAACAAAATTGTAAAATTAGAGTTGAAGTTAAAAAAAAAATTCAATATGGCAGATATGATGACCATATTGGTTTTCGATTCAGCTCAAAATACAATGAGTGGATATTTAAGGTAACCTGAGACGAAGTCCAAAAACCAAAAGACGAAAACAAAAAATCCAACAGCTCGTTCAACTGTAATAGGAAAGAAAGAAGTAGAAAGATGAGGTGCCCCAGCTGGAATCGAACCCACGACCCCAGGTACCGGAGGCCAACGCTCTACCACTGAGCTAAAGGGACATGTCCTGTCAGCCGACTGACAGAACCACTATGTGAACATAGTACATATACTACCCAGTTCTTTCACACTACTTTTGCATTACATGAAGTTCAAGTTACCTTTGTTACAAAAGTATTTCTTTTTCATTTGGCAACATCGATAACATCAGTTTTTACATAACTCAGGTGACCGTTAAAGCCCATGGGCCTCTTGTTTTACAAAATTGCAGCAAGATTTTTAATATGGCGGCTATGCTAAATGTATTTGGCTTCAACAAGGCTCGAAACACAACATTTCGTCCAAGTGTAAGCGAATAGAAAATTATATTAACATTTCGATGGAAAAGAATAATGGACGGCTAACGACGGAGGAAGGAAACGACAGAAAGTGCTAACTCACATGAAGGAAGCATATGACGGCACCACGTTTTCTTTACCTTAGTTTTTATGTCATAATATCATGACATAATTCCACTTTTCGACACCATTAAGACCGCAATTACACAAAAATACATAAAACTGAATATCATCTTTTTTTCTAATATATACCAGTTTTGTTGTGTGATCAATAGCAATACATATTTTGTTTTCTTTTTGCCAGGATATGGAGCAAGACACACTTTTACAATTTTATCTTTTATCGGTTACTTTAACCTGTATGCTCTTCGGCACAACCTTAGCATTGCTATGGTAGCTATGGCAAACCACACAGACAGCATCTCAAATCCAAACACATCCGCTTCTTGGGAGTGTCCAGATCCGGTTAACAACGTTACAACAAAACCAACAGCCAATAAGGTAAAACAATTAACAGAAATGTTACGACATGTTGTATCATGCCCGCATACAACTGATTAACTTTGATTTCTAATATACTTTACAATTGTGACTTCCAGTTTCAAACTGACTTTTAAACAGAGTTCAGACATGTAGGGTGAAGGTACATGTACGGACAGGTAGGGTAAGGGTATAGACATGTAGGGTGAGGGTACAGACATGTAGGGTGAGGGTACAGACATGTAGTGTGAAGGGTACAGACATGTAGGGTGAGGGTATAGACATGTCGGGTGAAGGGTACATACATGTAGGGTTAGGGTACAAACGTGTAGTGTGAATGGTGCAGACATGTAAGGTGAGGGTACAGATATGTATGGTGAGGGTACAGACATGTAGGTTGTGAGTACAGACATGTAGTGTGAAGGGTACAGACATGTAGGGTGAAGGGTAAAAACATGTAGTGTGAAGGGTACAGACATGTATGGTGAGGGTACAAACATGTATGGTGAGGGTACAGACATGTAGGTTGTGGGTACAGACATGTAGTGTGAAGGGTGCAGACATTTAGGGTGAGGGTATAGACATGTAGGGTGAGGGTACAGACTTGTAGTGTGAAGGGTACAGACATGTAGGGTGAGGGTACAAACGTGTAGGGTGAAAGGTACAGACATGTAGGGTGAGGGAACAGAAATGTAGGATGAGGGAACAGACGTGAAAGGTACAGACATGCAGAGGAGGATACATATATATAGGGTGAGGGTACAGACATGTAGGGTTAGGGTACAGACATTTATGATGAGGGTACAAACATGTAGGCTGAAAGCACCGACGTGTAGGTTGAGCCCAGCCAGCACACAGATATCGGGCCGACATCCCAGAATGCACGCTGATATCGGTTGAAGTGCGGAATATCGGCTAAATATGCCGTTATTTGGCCGACGTCGGGCCGTAATCACTTTTTCTATATTTATAAAACTGAATTCATTAAGTGTCAATGCTAAGATACCTTATACATTTATGTCGACGTTTCAATAGATAAACGTGTTTTCATATATACAAACATAAATGTTTATTCACTGCGGACCGACTAACCGGAAATTGCGCCAGATTTGTAACGGGTTACCGGCATTTTCAAAAATGACAGAGAACAGACAGCAGGCATAACAGATATGGACAGTGTGTTTGGATTACTTCATGGACAGACAAAGCCTATTGAAAGGTGATGAGGATAAGCTGTTTTATTTCATACTACCATGTCTTATCTAAACTAATATGAACATGTTGTCGGTGATAATCATGTTTTATATATGAGTTAACACTCAAGTTTACAAGTTGATTTCATGAGTGCTTAAAAATTACAAAATAAGTGTGTACCTATATAGTTATATCATCTTAAAACTAATATTCTGCACCTCATGATGTAAAACTGCATGTTGAGTTCTTACATGATTTTATATTTATATCAAGAGTGGTGTGGTATTGACTTTGGTTTGGTAACCCAATAGTCATATGTAAGGGAGTCTACCCTGAGGAGGCTACATGTGTACAGTGAGGCCCTTATATCTGGGGGTTATGATAATGTGTAACAGGCTTATCATGTATTGGAAGTATCCTGTTACATCTTACACAGATAGAATCACTCGCGTGGCAATGTTATCGTTAATGGTAAATTAACAATAAATTGACATTAAATAAGCTGGGGATTAATAATGAAGATAATGTCTACCAAATTTATATTTGATGTCTGCAACACAATGTCACATAACCGTTCTGTATCACTCCGTAAATACATTGTGTATCTAAAAACATCAATGCCTTCTTTATTTTGTTTATTTTAGATCTCACAAAGAATACTAATGTAGAATATGTAGTATATGTATATATAGTATATATATTGAATTTATTTTTAACACTGACAAATTTTTCTATTTGTTTCAGATGGTGTGACCAAAGTAAAACAGTTCTTAACGGAATTAGTGATGGCATACAATGTAGCGATAACCACCTGAGAATATATTATTAATAATTAATAAATGTTAATATTTTCACGTTTTTCATGGTGTTTTCTGTATATATGTTAAATATTAATTTCCCCATAACCAAGTGTGATCTCAATGGCAATTTCTGTTTTGTTGTATGATTCTATCTGTGTAAGATGTAACAAGATACTTCCAATACATGATAATCCTGTTACACATTAGCATAACCCCAGATATAAGGGCCTCGCTGTACACATGGATATGACTATTGGGTTACCAAACCAAAGTCAATACCACTCCCTGATATAAATTTAAAATCATGCAAGAACTCAGCATGCAGTTTAACATCATGAGGTGCCGAATATTAGTTTTAAAATGATATAACTATATAGGTACACACTTAGTTTGTAATTTTTATACACTCAGCATGCAATTAACTTGTAATAAGCATGTAATAAGACATGATCGTATAAAATAACACAGCTTACCCTCATCACCTTTCAATAGGCTTTGTCTGTCCATGAAATAATCCAAATACACTGCCCATTCAAATGTATCTGTTATTCCTGCTGTCTGTTCTCTGTCAGTTTTGAATATGCCGGTATCCCGTTACAAATCTTTCGCAATTTCCACTTAGTCGGTGAATAAATTTATGTTTGTATATATGAAAAACCCCGCTTATCTATTGAAACTTCGACATAAATTTATAAGATATTCTAGCATTGACACTTATTGAATTCAGTTTTATAAATGACGACCCGACGTCGGCCCAATAACGGCATATTTAGCCGATATTCCGCCCTTCAACCGACATCGGCCCGATATCAGCGTGCTGGCTGGGAGGGAACAGACATGTAGTGTAAGGGTACAGACATGTAGGGTAAGGGTACAGATATGTAGTGTGAGGGTACAGACGTGTATGGTGATGGTACAGACATGTAGAGTGAGGGTACAGACCTGTAGGGTGAGGGTACAGACATGTATGGTGATGGTTCAGACATGTAGGATGAGGGTACAGATATGTAGTGTGAGGGTACAGACAGGTAGGGTAAGGGTACAGACATCTAGAGTGTGGGTACAGACATGTAGGGTGAGGGTACAGACATGTATGGTGATGGTTCAGACATGTAGGGTGAGGGTACAGATATGTAGTGTGAGGGTACAGACATGTAGGGTAAGGGTACAGACATGTATGGTGATGGTACAGACATGTAGGGTGAGGGTTCAGACATGTAGGTGATGGTACAGACATGTAGGGTGATGGTACAGACATGTAGAGTGAGAGTACAGACATGTAGGGTGAGGGTACAGACATGTAGGGTGTGGGTACAAACATGTAGGGTGATGGTACAGACATGTAGAGTGATGGTACAGACATGTAGGTTGAGGGTACAGACATGTAGGGTGAGGGTACAGACATGTATGGTGATGGTTCAGACATGTAGGGTGAGGGTACAGATATGTAGTGTGAGGGTACAGACATGTAGGGTAAGGGTATAGACATCTAGAGTGTGGGTACAGACATGTAGGGTGAGGGTACATACATGTATGGTGATGGTACAGACATGTAGGGTGAGGGTACAGACGTGTAGGGTGAAGGGTACAGACATGTAGAGTGAGGGTACAGACGTGTATGGTGATGGTACAGACATGTAGAGTGAGGGTACAGACATGTAGGGTGAGGGTACAGACATGTATGGTGATGGTACAGACATGTAGGGTGAGGGTACAGTCATGTAGGTGATGGTACAGATATGTAGGGTGATGGTACAGACATGTAGAGTGAGAGTACAGACATGTAGGGTGAGGGTACAGACATGTAGGGTGTGGGTACAGACATGTAGGGTGATGGTACAGACATGTAGGGTGATGGTACAGACATGTAGGTTGAGGGTACAGACATGTAGGGTGAGGGTACAGACATGTAGGGTGTGGGTACAGACATGTAGGGTGAGGGTACAGACATGTAGGGTGAGGATACAGACACTTTAATGAGCTATATAAATAGACACACATGCTGTTGATACCCAAGAAATACAAAAGATGAATGTTAAAGGCATATATTGTTTCATTACAACAAAACAAATTTGGTCTTTCAGAAACTTTTTAGGAAATATTAATATTTTTCTTTAAAAAGTGTTCCATTTTTGGTACCCTCACCCTATATGTAAGACTTTTGATTTGATTGTTTCCATAATAGTAACAAACTTATTATTCAATTTACATGCAGTATTAAATTTGAAGGTACTACTTGGTTTTTTGAGCGTGCATCATGATTTTAAGCAAGTTACAAAAAAAGTAGGTTTGAGCACAGAATTCATGCTGGAGCACGAGAACATTTCATGAATACGGACCCTGGCCTACATATGCGTGTAAGTGTTAGAGCGAATAGTGATAATATAAGATATCAGTATATAACAAAACAAAACATGTAATCTGTTATCTTTCTATTTCCATCGGATGGTTTAGATATATCAAAAATACATTTTCTTATTTCCATTATTGTTCAGGCTATGGATTTTGACTGGGATGAAGCTACCCAAGGGCTCATTCTCAGCTCCTTTTTCTATGGATACGTTGCTACACAGATACCAGGAGGAATGTTGTCGGAGAGGTTTGGCGGAAAACATCTCGTTGGATTTGGAATATTGATCATGGCAATACTGACCATATTGACCCCTCTTGTTGCTGCTGAGTTCGGCACGTGGGCACTCATTACCACTAGGGTGATTGAGGGATTAGTTTCGGTAATTACAATATACATACTATAATATTGCTCAACAGCACAAACAATTCTGTTATGTGATTCATTCCGATTCGGTAAAATAGCTCCCGCTGTCTGGAGTGGTTGTCTTGGCAATATGTCATTACCTTTCTTCAAAAAGGAGAATACTTAGATAACAAAGCTGAATAATTCAAAAAGGCTTCAGACACGAAAGTCAAAAGTGCTAGTCTAGGTGTCATTTCCCTCAATAACACCACTTCCGTTTTACAAATACCTTGTTTGCGTCAACGGCAGATGATTTTTCTTTTCAAATCCAGTATAAGATTAGCAGATTTGTGCTTGTTTTTTTCCTGTGATAACACGTGTTATAAATCGAGGAATGGACATTGCATTTCTATTACGTGTTCTCAGTGAAATAGCTCTATTATCAAAAAAATGGATAAAGCACGAATAAACAATACGTATTACTGCTTGTGTCTTTCAGGGCGCAGCGTTCACAGCCATAGCGAATATGCAAGGAAAATGGACACCAGAAATGGAGAGAACTTTACTTACCGCTACTGCAAACGCTGGTAATACTTACAGTTTTGAAATTATTTTCAAAATGTTCCTATTCCGTCTTTGCGTATTGCAGAGTTATCTTCTCTTGGGAGGAGGTATTGATTGTTACGTCACTTGTTTGTGAGAATAACGTCAACGACGTAATTTTCTCACACAGACCAATGACGCAACAATCAATACCTGCTCCCAAGAGAAGATAACTCTGCAATACGCAAAGACGGAATATAAGGATATGTATTTTTGCTGTGCTTCTTTAGATTTTTTTTTTTTTTACTATGAAAGTACCAGAGTTTACTCAAAGTTCTACCTGTAAATCTAAACAAAGGCGAGAATCAACGAGTATTTCATTGCGTGAAGTTTGCCTGTTCAGATTTAAAAAATAACAAAAGTATTGAACAAGATTTTCCTTTGTATATATATTCACATTGTTTCACACCATGGCATTATAAATGCTTTGGAATACACGAAGTTATAGAACATAGGGTTTAGAGTTATGTCGGCACAAGCAATAACATAACATGATCTGTTATCTTTCAGGTGCGTTCGTAGGGAATGTTGTCGTGTTACCGGTAACGGGTTATCTATGTAGCTCATTCTTCTTGGGAGGTTGGCCTGCTAGCTTTTATATTTTCGGTAAGATTTCTGATATTGTTTAGCGTATCATTGTTACTGATCAACTCTTTATGACAAATGTTGGAAACTCGGAAAAAAAGCATGAATATGTACTGCATGTTTTTGTTTAAGCACGCGAAGGAATTGGGCGTCACATAAAAGCTTTTTTCACATATGCTTTACTAGTCAACAGCAAATATTAATGTAATTGCAAAAGCTTATTAAAGTATTGTAAAGGTAAAAAATAAATTAAAAAAACATAAATAATGGTCATATATTTCCACATGCCTACCAACACCATATTTTGTATGAGAGGAGGAAAAACAATTTGAAAAAGAAAATTGCATTTACATTACTCCAATAATGCATCACAAGAATTTTCAATTGATTGTTACATCAGCTGCAACTACGTAAAATTGTGTAAGTTTTTGTCATATTTCCATAGGTGGTATCGGATGCCTTTGGTTTCTTTTTTGGCATTTTCTTATATACGAAACTCCTGGCACTCATCCCCGAATTTCATCTAAAGAACGAAAATACATAGAAAGTACAGCTGGACAAAGAGCAAATAAGGTAACATTTTATATTTGTTCATATGAAACGTCCCCTGTACATTCGTGGATTTCCTAAATAAAGTGACCTTCTTAAGTCATAATGAGTACAAGATATAGTCGGGTGGTGCAGTGGATAGCGCACTTGCCTTTCACCAAAGCGTCCGGGGTTCAATTCCCCAATCGGATGTGAAAAGGTATGAGGTCATCTGCCCGATCACGTGGGTTTTCTTCGGGTTCTCCGGTTTCCTCCCACCATAAGAGCCCCCGCGCGCTAACATTCGGGCCAACAAGAGTGAATAATATAAGTTGAAATAAGTTGTTTTATAATGGTTGTAAAATAAATAAATTATATATATATGTATAGTCAAAATATAATGATATGACAAATTCACCCTGATGTGGAATATTTATATCGGGCGAGTGCATAATAAATCCTTTTATCATTTTTTCTAGATTACCAAATTCACGACGTAGACAATTGGACATTTTTTCTAACTTTTAACATCATGCCACACAGATTCACCATTGAATTTCTTTGAATTCAATTGAATTCATAAACTTGTTTCAAAACGATAAGCATATTTCCCCTCACGCTTAAGGATGACGTCACAATCAGAAGCATTTATTTTTTGAATTCATATCTTCAGGAACGGTCTAAACTTTATTTGACAGACCTTTTAGCAGGCAGTCAGATGTTTCCATATGAAATATTACGCACAATAAAGATTAATATGAAGTCATGTCCTAGTGGACATTTAATTGTGTAATTCACATTTATAGAGCTATCCGATACCTTGGAAAGGTATTCTGACGACACCAGCGATATGGGCCATTATGTTTGCAGCATTTTTCCATTCGTGGGGCTTCTATATAAATACCACAGTAATGCCAACATACATGAACAAGATACAAAAGTTTAATATCACACAGGTACGTGAAACTTTCCCAGCCTCAGAATTATTTCATATACGGGTTCACAATACACTTTAATTTATATTTGTGTACATGTATATTTCTCATGTGTAAGACGTCCTTAAACAATTACTTATCTGCTGAACTTCGATATGATTTTGATTTTAAGATTATTATATTACACAGTTACATGTATGTAAAATATGGGTTTGAAGGATATAATATTTATGTTCTGGGTTTATTTTCATTCATTTTTATATTTTCTTTATATCTTTCTATGAGGTGAAAGTATTGCATGATAGATGTAGCAAGCTTCTATACTTAAACGATTTATCATACTGATACAAAACACACATACATGTTTACAAGCAATATTCCATTCATCCGGAATCTTAGTTTTTGACAGTGACACGGCTGACACAGGAGTATCTCCCTGTATAGCGAACTCAGACCAAAAGCTTGGATACAGCCATTTTAACGACTTCTTATATATAAGAGATACATGTTTTTAATGATGCTTATCCCAAACCTATCGATACTTCTAGAGATTTGCCAACTCATTATATTGCATGAATACATGTATAATGACATTATATTGTAATATAGATAATACAGGCTGTATAATGAGTTTGAATTATTGTCTATGACTATAATGGCACTATAATTTAATATAGATAATACAGGCTGTATAATGAGTTTGAATACTTTTCCCGGACATTTTATGTTGGTCTTAGGATGGTTTATTGATGGCCATTCCAAATCTAATGACGGTGTTTACAGGATTATTTGGCGGCTGGCTAGCAGATCATATGCGGCGTAGTAGATGTCTCTCGACAATCGCCGTCCGAAAACTGTTTACCTCTGTCGGTATGTATGATATTATATTTAAACATATCATTAGTTTAAACATATTTGTATTGTCGTAAAAAAGGACAATTAGGATTGAGCACAAGTTTTGCCAACTAAGTAACGCCCTCTCCTTAATACATCATGTTGTATAATACATAATTGACAGCAGTGAATTAACTGTATCCGATCATATAGTAGAAACAGTGAGGGGAGGAAAGCAAGAAGAAGAAGGGTAAAAGATAGGTAGGATGATCCCCTAAATATATACATAATATACGAACCCATGTAAATGTTTAAAACAATATTTGGTCAACAGTAATCTGACTGGCTGGAAAAACATCAATCAACACCTTCATAAACTGTGTCCATCACATTCCATAAAGCTGTATTCTGTAGATCCACTCGTAACCGTTCCGTGTTCTCAAAGCCCTTCCTCCATACCAGCCAGATCAGATACACAATTATTCAAAAATATGTTAACATATTAACATTGATATTCATTCTATATTATATTATATTTATTTCACAAAGTATAAAGGATATTAGAAACGAATGAAATAAGAGGGGGGAGGTCAGTGCTCAAAATGTCAAAACCTGCCAGTACCGTCGATATAGACTTGAACCGTTCTTGCAATGTTTGAGTTTGCCTCATTATTTCAATCTATAGCACCCTTTAGAATTAGGTCTAATGACATATCTCCTGGATACCATGCTAAATTCTGCAATAAGGAAAGGCGTCGGATGTGGTATTTAGGGCATGTGAAGAAGAAGAAGTGATACGAGTCCTCGCACGTGTGTCCACATTCACATTGTGCTGAAAAAGTAAGATTAGCCCTAAAAAGATCATAATTGAGAGTACTTGCTCTGTTTCTTAATCTACAATGAAGAATATTTAGCCTACGCGGACCAAAATTGAGAAAGCATGGATTACATTTAGTTATTACATTATTCAACTTATGTATATTTGATTTGAACGAGTTCAGAGTTTGAATGTGTCTTATGGTTGTGTCTAAATTATTCCAAAGATCAACAGTTGAAGGAAAGAAAGCGTTGCGCATAGTTTGGAGTCTATACCGTTGCTTCCGCAATTGCTGAGAATTTCTAAAATCATAATGAGTCAGATCTCCAATATTTTGAGGTAGGATATTACATAAGTATGAGGGTGCAGTGCCATGTTTTATAGTATAAAGGAGGGACAGTTTTCTGATTTCTCTTCGTTTTTACAATGGTAGCCACCCAATTTCTGCATATAACAATTCGTTTTTTGTGTACATTGGTAGTCCTGTGACAATACGGGCCGCATCTATTTGTAGTTTTTCAAGATTATTTGAATTGATAGCACCACAGTTATCCCATACCTCACAGCCATACTCTAATATTGATCTAATATATGTTAAATACAATTTCTCTAAGTTTCAATAGGGATGTTATTGAACGTAAACAGGGGTTGATAGGGTTGATGAGTACAAGAGTGATTTGGTAGGAATCCTGATTGTAATTTATATATTAGATTGTTTTGATTGAAAAAATTATATATATGTTTGTAGACTACACGCTCAAATACTTTACTCACACAACCTAACAACGATATTGGTCTATAATTAGATACACTATATGGTTGGACCACTTGGCATCACTACTTAGTAATACACCTAGGTGCTTATGCTGATCGGTTATTTCAATAGGGATGTTATTGAACGTAAACAGGGGTTGATAGGGTTGATGAGTACAAGAGTGATTTGGTAGGAATCCTGATTGTAATTTATATATTAGATTGTTTTGATTGAAAAAAGTATATATATGTTTGTAGACTACACGCTCAAATACTTTACTCACACAACCTAACAACGATATTGGTCTATAATTAGATACACTATGCTTGTCACTAGCTTTGAAAATAGGTATAACATTAGCGAGTTTCCATTTTTCAGGATAGATACATGTTCGCAGGGACACATTGAATATAACAGTAAGAGGTGAAGCAATTTCTTTACATATGAATTTAAGCATTCTATGGCTTATTCCGTCAGGCCCGGATGCTTTATTTATATTTAGAATACATAAATGATCTTCAACTTCAGAAGGTGTAATAACTATGTCGCAAAATGTGGACTCGGTTTGGCTATCAATCCTAGGTACCTGTTTACCCTTGTCGTTAAGTGTGGAAATGGACGTGAAATAATTATTAAGTAATTCGCATTTTTGTGTGTCGTCTGTGATATAGTCAGAAGAACTTTCGTTATAAAGTGGTGATATTTCAGTGTTTTTGTTTCCTTTAAGTAAAAGTTTAAGTAACTTCCAATATGTTTTAGGATCTGATTTAGATTTAACAATAAGGTTATCAATATTTTCAAAGAACAATTCTTTAGCACGCTTAATCATGTTATTAACTTTGTTTCTTACTTTCTTGTATTTTAATACATTATGGTTATTATTTTGTTTTATCATTGCCCTTTTTGATCTGTTTCTTATACGTATTTGCTTTCTAACATTATTGTTAAACCACGGTTTGTCATGTTTGCGTATTTGGACCATCTTTGAAGGTATACAAGTATCTATAGCAGTCATAATGCTGATAGTTAATAATATAACACAAATAATTAATTTGTTTTATAATATCATGGTCGCTACTTATGGCAAAACTGACTTCTCGACCGATCGACAGTCCGCAAACCAGACAAATGACACCCACAGACTGAGAGACATCGTTGGAGCGGCCTTGAATCCTTCATGGAAGGATCATAATTTAATAGAGAATTATTATTATTTTGTGGACTACATTTCATGCTTAACATATTTCAATATCATATCACACATGAATCTTGACTCAATTATACCTACACATGGAGATTGACGTAGATTTTCCATAAACCCATAAGATGTTCTGCGGATGCATAAATAGTATTTGATCATCAATTACTGTCTGGTATCTGATGTGATGAACTTAAACCATGAATATAGCGTGGTAAATGGCAAATAGAAATAGCATAACGTTTAAGCATTCAATAAATTTTGACTTTGATGAGGTTGATAAATGAAGATTAAAACGTCATTCTATTGAGATATTGGGAACATAAACCTGTACTTGACTAGGGACAAATTTAACCAACCGATTAATTTACAGATTATTTTATTGTACACAATGATCACAAAAACATAAGCTTCATTCAAACCGTCGTCATAGTTATCGCTCTTTGTATTAAGTATTTCTTGATGATATGACTTGCCTCAATACTAGTTGGTTATACAGTAACGTGATTTAATAACTCTGATAACTTATGTCAAAATCGTTTTATTTCCATAGTCAACAACATAAATTTTAACTAAACCCTAACAAACACCCCGATAGTTAATCTTCCTCTCTGCTCGATTCTTCTTAACGCACATATTTAAATTGTTATTTCACATCAGTTTAATATTTTATTTACATTGAAATATACTCTATAATATCCAGATAAACTATCAATTCATGTGGTGATTTTTTTCAAAATGATATCCAGATTAAATACTTTCATTGAGAGATCAACTATCTAAAATGATATCCGGAATTATTCCTTATCTTTATTATCGAGTATATTTTCTAAAATATATATTTGAATTCCTAATTATTATTACCAGGTCTACTTTCGGCTGCCCTCTGCCTCCCTTTAATGCCGTTAGCTGGATGTGACCACGTGGTTATCGTTACCCTGACCGTTGTGGGAAATGGCATGATGGGTTTTTGTGCGGCGGGTTTCTATGTTAACTTCCTAGACATTGGTTTCAATTTTTCAGGTAAGTATTAAATTTCAATGACGTTGAAATGCTCTGTACTCAATTGGTTATCTCCCTTTCTAGCTGTTTGTTTTTTAATTTAAAAATTGCAATATGAAAACACAATTATATATAACTTCTTTGTGTATACTCTTTTGATTATAAAGAGGTCACTTCCTGTTATAATAATTATACAATAAATCGGACATTGAGTGCATTGAACATTCATTGTTGTTTTATTACTAAATTTCAACGACAGTGACAATGCCATTGACCCATGATAACGATTTCGTTGTGTTTATATGGTATCTAAATAAATAACTCATATTCATCTTTCAGGGATCTTGATGGGACTTATCAACTTTTCCTCAAATGTAGCAGGAGTTATATCCCCTTACTTTGTAGGAGTTCTCACTAACAATAATGTAAGGATATCTATATATATATGTGTATATTACTATAAAGAGTAATGTATGTGTAATCCAATGAATCAACAATGTGTGTGAATTCCTAAAGGCAAAATTGTGTGTATTCCTATAAACAGCAATGTTTGTGCGTAGTCTTACAAACTACAATGCGTGTGTTTTATCCGAACAACAGTGTGTGTTTATTTTGATAAATACAATCGTCCATCATTTATTATTACAAAATGATCGTTTAAAGTTTATCAACAATTATGAACATTGTATTTTGTTACTTTTATGACATTAATGAATGAATTCATCACGATAACGAAAGTTGAATCTCATCAAAATCGAAACCATAAACTTCTGATAACTCTGTTTATCCACTAACATTATGATAATGATACTGAAGATGCCTGTCATTATCTTTTGTCTGTACAAACTTTTCCAGTCCACAAATAAGATCATTTATTGCTCTTGTGAGCACTGGTATTCAGTCAGACCTCGACCTTGATACTTTGCTATGGGAGTAAACATATCTGCTATTCCAAACAAATGGCAATATCATACTAAATGTCTCTGTACAATTATTCATAAAACTAACAAGAAGGTTTAAAACCAACTTTAGTTGACAACTATTGCAACCGGAACACCTGTATATATCTTCTACCTACTCCTCCTCCTCCATCTTTCTGTTTTTCTCTGCTGCTTATCATAACAATTAGAATGAGTTTGATCTTGAACTATTTGTGACTGTTTGGGTGATTTCCTTATAAGACGATGCGAACACATATGGAACATTTATGAAATGTAAATAAGTTACTCTATATTTATGTCAATGTTCAAATAATCTAACAGTTTTTTTATGTTAATAACGTTAACGACTTATTTTTCAGGAAACTATGCAACAGTGGCAGACGATATTTTACGTATCTATGGCTTTTTACGTGGCTGGGACATTGACGTTTCTGGTGTTCGGTAAAGGCACTGAGGCTGAATGGAACAAAATACCAAGCGATAACAGGACAATAAAGGACCCCAATCCCGATACAATTGTTCAATGTGATGTAATTGCGGAAAAGTATATATAAATATAGGAGATGTCTGTTGTGGTTTAAAATAAACATTGTAGGTGGAAGGAATTAATCATTGTATCTTTATAAGGAATACTGATTATGAGATAATTAGTCAATCAATTTATTTCTCTATAAACAACATTGTAGGTGGAAGGAATTAATCATTGTATCTTATATCTTTATTAGGAACACTGATTATGAGGTAATTAGTCAATCAATTTATTTCCCTATAAACAACATTGTAGGTGGAAGGAATTAATCATTATATCTTATATCTTTATAAGGAACACTGATTATGAGGTAATTAGTCAATCTATTTATTTCTCTTTAAACATCACTGTAGGTGAAAGGAATTGATTGCTTTATTTTATGTCTTTATAAGCAACACTAAAGGTAGAGGTAATTAATGAATCTGTTCTATTTTTTTATAAACAACATTGTAGGCTGAAAGAATACCTCATTGTATATTCAATCTTTTTGAACAAAACCGAAGGTAGGCTTATTAGTTGATCTATTTTATTTTTCTATAAACAACATTGTCGGTGAAAGGAATTTATTATATTATTCTATATCTTTATAAGCAACACTGAAGGTACAGAAAAAATAATTAATCAATTGTATGTCTCTATAAACAACACAATGTGTGAAGGAACTTGATGATTTTATTTTATATCTCTAGGATGCTTACACATCATATTATGATCGATTTCTGAGCCCTTATACCACGACTCGACGTCATCATACAAACGTCTGTAGTCCCTCGCGCGGTGGAGGCGTCTACATATCTCGCAAATGCCGCTTGTACCGGATCGGGTGAAGTAAAATGTCCTCCACCAAGAAAAGTATTGGTCAACAGCCGTTCGGTTCGCTACTAATGAGGTCATAAAAGACGCAAGATCGGAGCTAGATTTAAAGTCGTTTGTGTTTATGTAAGATCCTGGAGGAAGATACATGGATAGATTAGTTCTCCCCCTTATAACGGGTAAAACGTAAGACATGTCTACAAATTGGTTAAAAACCTTTTCAGTGACGTAATCCACACACAATGCGTTTTCGAACGACAGATAGTATTTATACAACTTGTTTAGCATTATGTTGCAATCGCGCCACTCTGTAGAAGGACATTTCAGATTACCACATTTCCCAAAAATATCGACATGGACAAGTTTTGACAACATCTTAGCAAATATACCGCGGTTACTTTGAACCTGACAACGTGAAACAAACCAAGCTGCATCACGTGACTTATTTTGCCATAGCAACGGAATACTGTTCATGTAGTTATCGATATCCAACTCGATTTCTCGGAAATGGAGTTTAGCAAAAGGCTCAATAATATCAGAATCGCGACGGTATGTGTATGTCCAATTGAATAGCCTTTTCCAATGTTTAAAATCAGTTTTGCTATTACCTGGTGCTTCCAAAGAATGAAATATCCAAATTTGTCCGGGCGACTTTTTGGGAGGAGATTTTACAATATTTGATGTTTGGAATATAACAGCAGGAGCAGATTGGTAGTTACTTCCGGAAGTGAAATAACACCTGTATGTACAATGTTCTAACGCTTTAGACGTTATCCATAACGGGGGGTTATAGTAATGAATACGAATACAGGTACCATTTACACTTGATGTGTTTGTCTGTGAAGCACCCCCAATGTTACAAGTGTCTATTGGGGTTTCTCCCGGAGTCTTTACGATCATTGATGATCCTTCTGTTGGTAGACTCTCCGTACGCACGAAGCCTGGGTGGAGTTTAGGAAGTCGTTTAATATGAATATTTTCGTTTGATGTTTCAACTCGCAATTTGGAAGCTTTAGAAGGCTTGATAGGTGCTTTAGGAATTTTCGCACCCATTGTTGGCATAAGCTTGTTGTTTTGATGGATGATTGGCTGAAGGGAAACAAAGTTTGAGTGAAAAGCGTCTGACCCGTGGTTTTCATGCAAAGTTACATGGAAAACAACGTAAAAGAAGACAGCGACGACACAACAAATGGTCAGACACGTCATCAGGGGGCCGAATCTGAAAAATAGTAACAAAATAAACGTAACTTATGGATGAATGAATCAAATACTTAATTGTTGCTTAGCAGCTCGTTGGTAAGTAGAGATTTCCTTCCCCTATATTTCGCAAGTTTTCAAAAGGGCTCCCCCGTAACCCATAGAAACTGTCATAGTATTTAGTGTATCAGTATTTCATTTCATTTCAAAATATTTTATTAAATCAAGTAATTAAATGGGAATTGGGCAACAGGCTATGCCTATACAAGCCCTCTCCCTTGGGTTAAATACATTTCAAACAAGAACAGAATTATAATTTAGACATGAACATATTAACACTGGCTTGGAACATTAAATAGTACTTTTAAATAAATACTCATAGTTCAATAGATGGCTACTAAAAATACTAATACACTAATATTTATAGTATGTACACACACGTATATATAGATAAACATATACACATATGTATAATTCAGGTCAACATGCATATGCTTACGATGAAAGTAAAATAACAACATTTAACAAATATACAATTACTTTATAGCAGAGCAAATAGCAAATATTTTCAGTATAAGTTAAATTTTAATATTATATTAAACCAAAGAAACTGTAATAGTATTTAGTGTTTCAGTTTAAATTATTGTTATACGTAGGAAGCATGTCTGTCTCGACATCGAGACATGTCTATCTCGACATAGAGACATGTCTATCGCGACAGCTTTGTGGCAACGATGAACTTGACATTTTTAATTGCACCAGCCTATACAATTTGGTAATAGATACGGTATGCCAGAAATAAATTACTTTAAACCATACATCTGTTTCGTCCTTATGTCGAAATAAAAGGGGAGGTTCATAAAACCACTTACTTATATGAATTACTACTTAATATATTAATAATAAGAACATTGTGTAAATTATGACCAGTGCCGCTTCACTAAAGGAACAACGGTGGCTATACATATAGAGCTTTGACGATTTCCAACATTTTTATAATTTGAACCGTGTTGGATCACTAGGGATCGTATGAGTGTTTAACTATGCAAATTAGATGTCTTATCATATACGGTATCGTAGTATATGTTAATCAGTCCATAGTAACTTTTGACCAATCAGCGATTACGTATTAGAGGGGTGTTGGTATTGCCAGCTTCAGTTTCATTACTCGTAGTGCTGGCAGATTACACTTGTTTGTTTTGATTTACCCACCCACCAACCCCTGCATCGCCTCTAATTAATTTGCCTCATGATCATGAGTTTTTGTGTAATTGTTGGTTCTTTTTTCAGGTTCATGTATATGTATACAGTAACTTCATATTTGTCTATTTTGTCGATTTATTACATGCTGCCCTTTTGTGAGGCTTCTGTGAGGCTTTTTTTTGCCGCTTCATGTTGTATGTTACATTTGTATATGTAATGTTTATGTTAGGTGGGTTACTCACTCTATTGATCGAGACTTTATGAATATCTTTGTGTAAATTTAGGCTTGGCTTTAAATTCTTTGGGAATTTTACCCCCAATCTCTTAAATAGATTATTACTTCACTTTATCTGTAGCTAGTTTTCTCATGGTAAATATAACAGATATATTCTCTGGGGTGGCTATGAGTCTAGTCGCTTCTCTGGATTCCTCGAGAGTCTAGTGAATTCTCTTGCCTTCTTCGGAGTCTAGCGTTTCCAATTCATCGTCTTTTATAGCTTCTCCATGGATATTAGGAGTCTAGTCGCTTCTCTGGAGTCGTTCAGAGTCTAGCTGCTTCTGTCATTTGCTTTGGAGTCTAGCTCGCGTTCTTTATCAAGTTTCTCTGTGACTTCGCAGAGTCTAGCTTCCTTTAAAATCTTTTGAAAAGAATTTGTTACTATTAGTAGGTTTGTTATAGAGTGAGTAGCCCCTGATACGCGAGTGTACAGTCAGTATATATATCATAGATAAAACCACAAGTTACTAGATGATTTTGTAGCTTGTAAAGTAAAACATGTTCCAATGGTTAAATAAAGAGTCTTCGGATCTTAGTTGCTCTGTTGTGTTTTGTTTACAGCAGTGACCACTGTTGTGATGTTAATGTTTATCATTCTTTAAATAAGTAAGCAATAATTTACAACAGGGAAAAGAAAAATTGTGATATAGGATTGAGTTATCTGTTATTTCCATTTAATGGAAACTTAATAAATACGTGAAGTACATTATATGTGTATATCATAATTCAGGACGCGTGTAAATTAACTAGTTTATGTTGCAATCTTACTGAATCTATAAGTTTAAATGGCAATCACCTGCGTGTGTTTTAATCATCTTTCAAAATCAAATGAAATATCTATGGCAAAACTTTTTTTTAAATAATCAAAGTGACAGCAGATATTGCAATATGTATTGAAATCTGAATATGTCGACATAGTAACTCGTAAGTCGAGGGCAAAAATATGCAACCATCATATCAATATTATTTTATAATGAACGTCGAGTAATATTGCATTTCATGTGCCTACAAAAACTACCACCTCGATATAAAATATTGAAACTAAACATCTGAATAAAACAAGTTGTCAAGGTTCGGTTCATAATACAAAGCCGATACAAAGTCCTACACATATGCTGTACAAACACAACACATATGTTGTACAAACACTCAGAAGTTTTTTTTATGCAGAAATGTACCTCTTTTACTCGTTCACTTAATTTGTCTGATTTATTGTAGATTATACGCAAATAACACGATATCACTCAACATCATGATATTCTCATAGCTATTGTTATACATCAATCATGTTGGATTACCTTTTTTAGATAAATGTATATTACTTCATTAAGGTAATTGTTTTGCTGTTATTTCGCTTTTCATCTTAAAGCGTTCCCCAAATTAAGCTTTACATCTATACTATAGAAATATTGAAATACCACAAATCTTACCTGATCAATCTGCATTTCAGCCATAATCTTGAAAAGTGACGACGACAGCATACCATGTTGAAATTCTGTTTCAATGATCTGGAATTCCCAACACATTTCAGTATTATCTACCTGAAAAGTGGAACATATACTCCAACTAAGTACTGTATAAAGTATTATATAAGTACTAAATAATACGATATGTCACATACTAGTTCTATATACTCCAGTAGGCCATACACTAGTGCTATGTTATGTGGTAGCTTAGATAGCCATTTTGAATAAAATAGAAATATTGATCTAGTTCCCATTGACATCGTTCGTACTAAACGCGGTCAGAGACATTGAATCTTCAAGTCTAACAGTATGTGATATATATTGCTATTTGACCTCTTTGACTAACGGTCTACTGCTTCATGTACATTCATGTCTTATGTGAGAATAGCCCAAACGTGCTGTATTTGAATAGGATTTAAAGGTAGGCAACGTGATAAAATCTCATACTTCATCAAAGATTTACTGCTTACCATTCAATGTCATGGGACACCATTGTTTACTGTTTAATGGCATGGGCTAGTACATCTGACAAAATAATCATTAAAAAAGTGTGAACAAAAATAATATATGTATGTGCTTTTGATATATATTGATACCTTGTCTGTTGTGTTGTTTGTGATTTATTTTCTAAAGAATATATTTTTTTAATTTTGCTATATGTTATAAAAATCAAACAAAGTATCGGAGTAAGCGCATGTATACACAAGTGGGTATGATACCTCCTTCCTTTGTCCGCCAGACATTCAGGCGTTTTAATTAGTCAGTGGGTTTAATTAAAGCTTTAACAATACCTCATGTAGTTTACAGTTTACACATAACATTGACATTGACAGTGTCGCCTCCACTTTACTAAAACAAAGACACACACAAACCAGGGACATGGCGAGGAGATTCAAACGTGAGTGCATAGCCTGTCTTGTCTTTGTTATTACATAGTATTTTTATTACATTTCTAAACATTTTCTTAACAGTATGATAATTGTATGTATGTGTATGTCTACCTGTATGATAATTGTATGTATGTGTATGTCTACATGTATGATAATTGTATGTATGTGTATGTCTTCCTGTATGATAGGTTAATGTATGTGTATGTCTACCTGTATGATAATTGTATGTATGTGTATGTCTACCTGTATGATAATTGTATGTATGTGTTTGTCTACCTGTATGATAGGTTAATGTCGGTCTGATATACTCTGGGTTTTATTATGTACTAAGTGTATACGATTCTCCAATATACTGTGTGTCTTTATAAAACTGCCGATGTCGTCATGTTATTTAATGACACAGGTATATTCCTTCCAGATACAAACACTCGAGTCCTAACGTCCAATGGAGGTTACAGATGCTGTACGGTCCCCAAGTAAGTCCAGATTAAAGATAATATCAAACCATTTACAAACAAACCACGTATTTTATGATAACAATGATTTATATATAATAGCTGAAACGATTTGTTTTATAATAATAATAACGTTTTTGTTTGTGACAATTTTGATTTTTCTACGTGATAGCTATGTTTTTTTGTAGATTAACAATGTTTTTAGTATGATCATAGTGATGCTGTTTAAGTGATAAGTTATTTGTTTTATGATTAAAGTAAGTTTGTATGTATGGATAAATCTAATTCCGTGATATTACAATGTTGTATTTAGGAAAAGGTCATATATTGTTTTGGTTTTGTATACAATGATAGTAATTTATTATATTGAAATAGTAATTTTGTGTTTACATTTGAAATGACAAATCTATATATATATATATTGTATAGGTGTTGTTACATAATGTTATGATGATAAACTTTTTATATGATAATACGTATTTAAGCTGAAGATACAAAATGCAAAAGAAAATGCTTATATAATTATTAATATTATAAAGTATATAATAAAATTACTTTAAGTTGTGTGTATATATTAATTATAGTTTTTGTATATGAAAATTGTGTTTTTTATAAATTAAAAATTATTGTTTTGTTTGATAGCGATTTATGGTGATATTTCTCAGTATCAAAAATTGACATTAATGCAATTGCATTCAAAAGAAATGAAACGGAACACTTATTTGTGCCTAAGGATTATCGTTGCTGATATATTTTGATTCAAATCCCTCATCCCATTAGCTTTAACATTTCCTTTATGTATTTAATATTATATATATATATACAAGTATATACTACTACTGTAAACATATTTTCAAACATTAAACACGTATCCTTTTCTCTTATATACTGTTTTTTAATCCCTCATCCCATTAGCTTTAACATTTTCTTTATGTATTTAATATTATATATATATACATGTATAAACTACTGTAAACATATTTTCAAACATTAAACACGTATCCTTTTCTCTTATATACTGTTATATACTGTTATTTACTGTTATATACTGTTATGTGTTATATACTGTTATATACTGTTATATACTGTTCGTTTTCAGTTTCAGACTCTACTTCGTCTCCTTCATACTGATAATTTTCATGGGACCCGTCTTGTATGCGGTACCATATCTGTCAATGAGCTTCCGGAAAAAGGAAATGACGTCACCGGAAGTGTTCATAGACGTCAGACCATCATATGATTGGAAGAACAAATCCACCTATGATAACACAGTAAATTGGAAAAGCATTCACTACTATAATCCGCCCGGCTGGCTTAAAACTGATTTGTTCAACAGTTGCGATCACCCCTGTTATCTCACCACCGGTAAACATATATCCCAGCTTGATAAAGACACCGCCATCATATTCCACGCGCCTGATATAATGACATTTCCACAAGAAAAACCACTTGGCCAAATATGGATATTTCACTCAATGGAATCTCCTAAAAATCATCATAATGTATGGGCATCATGGGAATACCTTTTCAATTGGACACTGGGATATCGAAGAGATGCAGATATTTTTAGTCCATATTCAATGTTTGTTACAAAAAAGAGAAACAGTTCACTATTTGATATGAAAAGAAAACAGCAGACGACAGCTTATGATATTACATCCAAAGCATGGAAGGCTAAATTAAATGATGCTGTTTGGTTTGTGTCAAAATGCAAGACATCCTCCATGCGGCAACAATATGGATTACGCCTTGGTCGATACATTGATATAGATACTTTTGGAGAATGTGGTAAATTTTTATGTTGGAGACGTTTAAAAAGCCTTTGTGAAAAATTTATGAAGAAATGGTATAAATTTTATCTGAGTTTTGAGAATTCCTTATGTAAAGATTATATCACGGAAAAAAGCTTCAATCTTTACTCACATAATACTGATTTAATACCTGTTACCCGAAGTGGAGCCAACGTCTCTTTGTATCTCCCAACCGGAAGTTACGTCACGACCAGCAATTTTGTGTCTATACAGTCCCTGGGTTCACATTTAAATACAATATCAAGCGACTACGACCTTTTTAGTAATTACTTCAAGTGGAAACGCTTCTACACGAGTAAGGATATGATAGACTCTGAGGATGCCTTCTGTGAACTTTGTCGGCGACTCCATGTAGCGGATCATAGCACGAAATATCACAGGCTCTATGGGAGTATCCACGCATGGCTGGTCGGGAGTGTGAATTCTCCCATGTGTACCGATACTGTCACAGATATATTCAATATAACTAGCCATGCGTGAAAGTCTTATGAAATTTTTACTAGTAAAATCAAAAATAAAATTTTACGATGGAATTAAAGTTTCAAAAGTGATAGTAGGAAAGAAAAAGACACTTTTGTTACTGCTTTTATGATCCCACGCGTATAAAAAGTGACCAATAGGGCAATTGATTTAAGCATGAGGAAATAGTTTTTATGTCCATTCTGTGGTCAAGATTAAATGAACCAGTGTGACATTGATTAACGTGTGAACCACACTTGTAGTTTATAAAATGTTACAAATTTCTTATTTAAAACTTATCTGTCAATAGGGAATGGACATATATTATTAAGATGGCTGTGACTGGAAATACTGTCGAAAATGCAGTATATGGTAGTAAGAAAGGAACAGATCCACAGTGTTGCAGTAGGGATAGCAGATCAATTTTGATGTGTCCAATGTCCCTCAAGCCGAAGGCACAAAAGATAACAAAAATGATGCAGGGTCGCTCATTAGTAGCCTCCTTCGATAATATAACATGCAGAGTTATACAAGTGTATTCTTTCCCCGAATATGACATTATATTGTAATAGCGAAGGTTGTAAGCAAGTTGCCGTTATGGTGTTACTATTAAGCATATATAAAAGGTTGGTGATGTTATTAATTGGGTTAAAAGATCTCTGTTCTACTGTCGAAACTTGTGCTATGCACTCAAAAAAGAAATTGTATATATTTTTCACAGAATATTTCTGAAAAGAAAAGCACATTCTGTGGAACTTATGAAGAGCTAATGAAAACCATTGGAAGCAGTTAGAAATACAACAGGGTCAGACCAGTCCTGAACGTCCTGTCAGTGTTCTGTTACTCCAACAACCTGAACCAGCTTGTCAACGGTAGCACCCTGGCCAAGTCACGCTTATCTCATTCACCCCTGAAGACACATTAGAACTCTTCAAATTCAAAGGTTAATATAGTTCAGTATGAAATATCCAAAAAGAAATACAGGGGATGTAACTACACATATGTATGTGCCAAAAATTCCGTGTAAGACCCCCGGCGTGCTAACATACTGGCCATCAAGAGTGATAACTATAAATTGAAATAACTTGTTACATTATTGTGGTGAATAAATTTAACTTTATACTATATTTGTATAAAGGAAAGGAAAGAAAACGCAATTACATGTTCATATGACAACATTTTAATGTAAATCCATCCGCGGTTTACATATTTCAACATCACGTGAGCCCCTTAACCAATTATTTATATCATTGTACACACGTCGATATTTCATTGGATCGTGTAGTTTTCTACACAATTCACAAAATGGCTCTTGGGCCATTGACTGCATATAATAATGTTTCTGCCACTGGCAGTAGTGCGCGGACTTAGTAGCGTCATTAGACAAAACAGTCATCCGTTTCCCTAATTCCTTGACGGACTTGAACGTTTCTGTACTTATATACGAATCAGGTGGCAAATACATACTGTAATTAGCGCCCCCTCTACCTATAGGTATAGCGCCAGTATTGTCCCAGTAAATCTTGAAAATTTTCTCTGTTATGTAATCTCGACAGAATTGACTTTCAAAAGCCATGTAAAATTTATACTTTTCCTTTAACATTCGTTGACATTCAGGGTCTTGCGATTTTGGACATTTAAGCGGTCCACATTTACCGTATACATCGACGAATATATGTTTTTGGAGCATGCGCACATAGTCGCCTCTTTTCGCCTCGTCAACACAGTTAGAAACAAACCATGCGGCTTGTTCGGTCTTTTCTTTCCACCTTCTCGAAACGTTTGCCTTTTGTTTCATCTCATTCTGTCGTTCAGGAGATAACGTATTAACCCTCCCATACGTATTTAAGATATCGGCATCCCTTCTGTAACCGATTGTCCAGTTGAACAAGCCTTTCCATCGTTTAAGTTTGTACGCCTGTGGGTGACGGTGTGGTGGTTCCAAGGTGTAAAACACCCAAATATGGTCATTTTGTTTCCGTAGAGGTAGCTCATTATACAGTGTAGCGGAGTGGAACACAACAGCGTAGCTTCTGTTGTAGTCCCCCTGGTCAATCATGTGACAGGCGTAGTCACAGTCTTTGAAGACGTTAAGACTAAAGTCGGACGGCCTGTTGTAGAAGAAGACCTCAATTGATGTGTTCTTGGGTGTTCTATGTAGGCGTTTGTTTGTATCTGGTTTTCTTTTATATCTCACGTGTTCGACATACAAGAACATGAGAACCACGACTACGACACTGCAGGCGAATAATCTGGAATAAGGAATAACTACAACGTATTAATTAGACAATTAAAATGATTTATCTCATCAGTATCGATATATTTCTTGTATGTAACAACACTGGCTGTATCGCTATAGTAGGGATCCATCCGATATATAATAGATAAATATGTCGAAGACAGTACAAAGAAAGATGTTTTACATACTCATTAGAAAATACCATCAATTTATACGATTGTTCGTGGTTATATTGTATTATATAGAACTTAACATAAATCAACGGGTAGTTATGGGGTTTAAAAAAAGTTATACAATAGGTGGTTATGTCATTATACATCACAAATTAATTAAATGATAGATGGTTTAGTTCCTTTATATAGAATATCACTGAAACAGCTGACAATATAAAAGTTGTACTTTATACATAAACAATATACGTATCAAACGTGTCGCATCATTTCAAGACCGACTGGTCCCTTTGTCAAGCTCTTACTGTGACACGGTTAATACGCACGTACATCATTTGTGTTTAAAGACCAACTTTGATATTACATATTTCCAAAATGATGAATCTTATTGAAGATATGGTATTTTTATTTCATAGAAGATGATTTTCTATGAATCTGATATTGGTAAAACGTGCATTGATCTTTTTAACCCCTTCTTCGTTGTGACACTGTACAATCGAAATGTATTTTCCATTATGATTAATCTTATCATTTTGCTTTATGTTTTGTTTATAAATAACATCGTGTTAAGATTGTTATGTTTCATTTCTGAGGATATTACCAAAAGTGTAAAGGATATACAATGCAGGTAAATAAAATATTTCATCTTTTCAATATCAGATTCTGTCCTTACCGTTTCAGCCTGGTTATAGTCATGATGTATCTGATGTCTGAAAAGTGATTCCGAGCTTCCATCGGCATCATCTTCCTCCTATCAATCACATCATAAAGAAATATGAACAAATGTGTTGTATAATATAATATAATACTCGTTCCGGTCTGTTAGTTAAGCCAAGTACTGTTCCAACACTGCATTGTTGACGGTCCGATAGATTTTTAAGATGAGGATATTTAACTGGACACTACATGCTATCCTTCTTCTGACAACAAATCCAGGAGAAGGACATTTAGTTTATTTTGTAGTAACTGAGTTGCCCCTTTCGCCAAACATAGTTATGTAGTTTGTTATATGAATGTATTTGTTTTTAATTATTTGTCATATAATCATGTTATGTCGTGTGTTGTGTAATAAATGTATATATTGTAACTTTTATATTCTTGTAATCTGTTCAGTTTAAAATGAAGCTTATGTATATAAGCTTAGTTTAAACTGATAAATTTCATTCTATCTATCTGTATTTATATTGCTACCATCTGTACTGAATTTATCATACTTGGTAGTATACTTTATAATCGAATGTAACCTATAATAAAGTTTTCAGATAGGAACGCATATGTACAATACATAAGTAGGGCCAGTTTGTTTTCATTAATGATATGGAGTAGTGGGGCCAGGTCAACGAGTAATTTGATTGGTCAACAGATTCAAGCTAAACATCTTCATTGTTTTAACTGGCAGTTTAGTTAGCTTGGGATTTATCAATCGTGTCCACCACCATCCGTCTTATGTAAAGCAGTGGTAATACATCATATTAAATTTGTACTCATGTCAATGGATTAATAATGCTGTCTCTTTGCTATGTCGAATGAGGGCATATGTGTATTATAAGATATAGTATTCTCAATTGTCAATTTGATATTACTTGTTATATTTGGGTAACTCAGCTACTGGGTTAGGTTTATCTCATGATCAGCGGACTTTTCATTCAAAATTATTGTTAATAAATTCTAATTTCTCATTTCATCCCCAAAATTATTATATGTAGAGATCGATTGAATTCATCAGTATCCTAATTCTTGTAGCTTGTGTATCCTTCTAGATACAGAAGCAGAGGATTAGGGATATTAACTGTATTTGGTCTCAAAAAAAATCTTTCATCTTAAACCTTATTCGGGATATTACATGTAGCTCATCAAGCTGCAACGAACGAGGTTTAGGTAATTTGTTTTGGAAATAGAAGTACTAGAAGTTTACAATCGTCACACTACTATTCCTTATTCGGACCTGGTAGCTCATCAAGCTGCAACGAGATGAGGAATAGTATAATACGGGATGATCATCTATCTATATATGTATAACCATGCTGACACCTATTCCTCATCCGGACCTGGTAGCTCAGTAAGCTACACCGTGGTGGGGTATAGCTCATTACAATATACATGATGTCTAGTTATTATCCTCTTCTGTCATACTCATCAGTAGCTCTAGCCAAGTACTGTTCCAACACTGCATTGTTGACGGTCCGCTAGATTTTTAAGATGAGGATATTTAACTGGACACTTCATGCTATCCTTCTTCTGACGACAAATCCAGGAGAAGGATATATAGTTTATTTTGGAGTAACTGAGATGCCCCTTTCGCCAAACATAGTTATGTAGTTTGTTATATGAATGTATATGTTTTTAATTATTTGTCATATAATCATGTTATGTCATGTGTTGTGTAATAAATGTATATATTGTAACTTTCTATTCTTGTAATCTGTTCATTTTAAAAGTACGTCATAAATATACAATTTAAACAATCAAAATGATTAACAATGACCAATGTTGTCAGTGCTATAGTACCTGTATCAGATATGGGACAAATAAAAGTAGACTGTCATTTTGGTATCAATGCTGCAGTTTGGTGTACACATTTTAACATATAAGTGATTAAATCAGACACAACTGCAACAATGACCCAGCTATGGGAACCACAGTGTTCTGTTAAAGTTCCTTCATCGAAAAGTCTGATACAGGACAAATAACATTGACAACAGTTATCATATTCCGGGCTGTTTATGTAAGTAGGTTGATATCCAAATAGTAGCCTACAAAGCGAAAGTCAAAGGTGAACAAAAGAAATATGAATATCGATCAAAGAAGGAAACCAGCTTCGGATTTATCTCGAGTTTTATATCGATATATATATACAGCTCTATAAATACTCGGTAGGACAGAAATTAACCGTGCAAATTTTGCATAGATGATACTTTAAACCTCACATACTTCCAACAAAAAATCCCTTAAAACGTGTTTTTGCTGTGTGAAGGGCCACAGAGTTGTGTGGTACAAAGTTTAGTAATTAGAGATGCGAGAAAGGACTATGGAACAAAGTTTCGTAATTAGAGATGCGAGAAAGGATTATGGTACAAAGTTTAGTTATTAGAGATGCGAGAAAGGACTATGGAACAAAGTTTAGTAATAAGAGAAACGCGAAAGGACTATGGTACATAGTTTAGAAATTAGATAAACGAGAAAGGACTATGGAACAAAGTTTCGTAATTAGAGAAACGAGAAAGGACAATGGTACGAAGTTTAGTAATTAGAGATGCGAGAAAGGACTATGGTACGAAGTTTAGTAATTAGAGAAACGAGAAAGGACTATGGCACAAAGTTTAGTAATTAGGGAAACGAGAAAGGACTATGGCACAAAGTTTAGTAATTAAGGAAACGAGAAAGGACTATGGTACATAGTTTAGAAATTAGATAAGCGAGGAAGGACTATGGGACAAAGTTTAGTAATTAAGGAAACGAGAAAGGACTATGGCACAAAGTTTAGTAATTAGAGATGCGAGAAAGGACTATGGAACAAAGTTTCGTAATTAGAGAAACGAGGAAGGACTATGGAACAAAGTTTAGTAATAAGAGAAACGCGAAAGGACTATGGTACAAAGGTTAGTAATTAGAGAAGCGCGAAAGGACTGTGGTACAAAGTTTAGTAATAAGAGAAACGCGAAAGGACTATGGTACATAGTTTAGAAATTAGATAAGCGAGAAAGGACTATGGTACAAAGTTTAGTAATTAGAGAAACGAGGAAGGACTATGGTACAAAGTTTAGTAATTAGAGATGCGAGAAAGGACTATGGTACAAAGTTTAGTAATTAGAGAAGCGAGAAAGGACTATGGTACAAAGTTCAATAATTACAGAAGCGAGAAAGGACTATATAACTAGTATTCTCTCAATGTCTTTCGTGATTTCAAACACTATAAATGGATCTCCAATCGACGAATCCCAAGAAGTGGTAACATTTAAAATTTTGCTGGTGACAGTTCAAATAAAATAAGTGAGTGAGACACTTGTTTTTGGTGACAAATTAACGTACTGGTGATCCTAGAAAGCATCCATAAGGATTTTAAGTCCGTTCAATGCATTGTTTCTCAATAGGACAATAGCAGAAACTTTTAATAGTAGACGACGAATCTAACAAGAGTTCTGGAAGTGCTATAGGTAGACTAGACACTTAAAGTTCTCGGCCTAAACAGCATAAAACAACATATGGATCTTAATAAAAATACAGCATACAGTTCAAATAATTGGTATCGTTTATACTTATTCAATGTCTAGAACAACGTTAACCATCTTCCATGGAATGTTTGTGGTATCTAACATTACAAAGTCACAACGCCATAATAATGATGACGTCAACACTTGGGCTATGGCATATACAGTCTATATGAATGTCATCCGAACTTAGTATACAGTGACAATGCCCGAGTGCTAAGTATCAATGTTTGGAAACACAACACATTACATACATACGCAAATAATTAGTTAGATGCATGTATATGGTATAGACCTTCACACAGTCCTGATTATAACTTACCTTGGTCCCCCGTTCGGCTTTATATTCAGTGAAGAGATAAGTATTTCATAATAAGCTCACAATGGAATCGTCGGCGGTGCTTCGGTCATCAAAAGATTTCTCCACGTCATGCATTTAACGTAGTTCTTCATATAGTACATTAATGCTATTTGTTACCAATCCATTTAATTGATATTGGATATGTATAGACGTATTTATAATTAAGCGGGTACCTGTTAATATTATCTCTGGGTAGGATCGGGTCTGAGGAACACTATAGCCTGTCAGTGCTTTGTAAGGGTGCAATCGTCCACAGCTACACTGTACTCATTAATGGGCACATTAAATTGTTAAAGTGTGTATGCATGAATAACTGGCCAGCAACAAACATCTAGGGGAGATCAAACCGCTGATCTCCGTCATACAGCTCATGATCGAGGTGTAGACGATTTCCTGTTGGAAATGGTTTTGTAATCCAGTATATATACATATGGAAATAAATATTTGCGTGTGTTTCCACACCGCACAAACTTCCTCAATAAAGTCCCACAATGTATTAAGGTTATATGTTTTCCTACGGCTCCGCTTAAAGAGCTTTCTTGTTGATTGACGTGTGTCATCTGGTGGAACTGGTACCCGCACAAATGATTATTCTATAATTTGGTAAAATATAGATCATTTAAAGTATATCACAAACCAAAGAAACCATACAATGTCCTTTGTTGTTTTAAACATAACTATCAGGATTAACAAGAGGCCCATGGGCCTAAACGGTCACTTGAGTCCTACAGTATTTATTTTTGTTGTTGAAATATGTAACAATTTGAGTACAAAATAGTTAAGTATAACGTTAACTTAAGTTTGTCAGGACCATGAGTCGATCATTCCTAGACCGAGTTTCAGTTCAATCGGCCTGTTAGAACTTGTTTTTAAGTTTGAAATACTTTTTTCAAAATGGCGGCCGTGGCGGCCATATTGGATTTCTGATCGACCCGAAAAATAATAACACTTTGTCAGGACCATGAGTCGATCATTCCTACAAAGTTTCAGTTCAATCGGCCCAGTAGAACTTGACTTTAAGTTTGAAATAGTTTTTCAAAATGGCGGCCGTGGCGGCCATATTGGATTTCTGATCGACCCGAAAAATAACAACACTTGGTCAGGACCATGAGTCGATCATTCCTACAAAGTTTCAGTTCAATCGGCCCAGTAGAACTTGACTTTAAGTTTGAAATAGTTTTTCAAAATGGCGGCCGTGGCGGCCATATTGGATTTCTGATCGACCCGAAAAATAACAACACTTGGTCAGGACCATGAGTCGATCTTTCCTACAAAGTTTCAGTTCAATTGGCCCAGCAGAACTTGACTTTAAGTTTGAAATAGTTTTTCAAAATGGCGGCCGTGGCGGCCATATTGGATTTCTGATCGACCCGAAAAATAACAACACTTGGTCAGGACCATGAGTCGATCTTTCCTACAAAGTTTCAGTTCAATTGGCCCAGCAGAACTTGACTTTAAGTTTGACCTAGTTTTTCAAAATGGCGGCCGTGGCGGCCATATTGGATTTCTGATCGACCCGAAAAATAACAACACTTGGTCAGGGAGATGTCAGCAACCTTCCCATGAAATATTAATGAAATCCCTTTGCCAGTATTTCAGCTTAAGTTGAAAATGTAAAATGTTAACGAACGACGACAAACGAAGACGGATAGCAATGTCACTTGAGCTAAAAGCTCAGGTGACCTAAAAATGTATGTTTTGGTAGGCAATACCGTTCCGTTGTAACATAATCAAGGTCATGTTTGGTCACCATAGACAGAGAGACAAGTTCATAATACACAGGAAGATATATTTGGTCACCACGGACCATGCAAGGTCGATGTCTTGACAATTCGTTAAAAAAAGGTGCAAACATGTTATATTCAAACTTTATTGATTTGACATTAAAATTTAAAGCATATTAAACTTTAGGAAACAATGTATTTAAAACATATCGCAACCACTTAAAATAACGCTGAGTATGTACATGGAAACACAGACGCACACCCACAACTGCCAGCCCGACTCAGTAAGTATAGGATGATGAACGTGAACACTTCACTATATACTTACCCTGTGTGGTAGTTAGAGAGAATGGACTAATAAATGAACTGCTGATAAGGGGCCAGGTAGGTATAAATATATTTCATCTGTACATCAGCTTATTGTTTATCATAGTTGTTATTCCGTGTCAAGAGACACAATATAATATAAGGATGATTTTGTAATTGGAGGTTTCATCACTCCTTTAACAAATTTAGGTTTAATCACCCCCACCGCTACCCCCCTTAAACACTATAGGTTTAATCC